CAGAATTATCACGCCCTTCCTCCCCACCTTCTTAAACTCCTTGACCCAAAACCCCAACCAAATTTTGGCACACCAAGGTTTAAGCTTATGTTTGAAAAGCTTTACCTATGTATGACAACCTATTTTGATGCTCTGCAGGTTGTTGATGCACCACTTCATTTCTCTGTCATAGGCTTGAAGGTTTCACACCATGGTAATAATTTCCCTTATTATAGAGCACCTTTCCACACTGTCATCATGGATCCTCTTGTTTGTCCACCATTTCAGTTGGGTTATACCCCCCTCAGCCCTGATACTCGTATAGCTTGTTGGAATGTTTGGGGAATTACAAGACCTTCTTCGTAGCGAATTTCAACTACCTATGCAAGGCTCACAACCCAACAGTAATCGTGTTATTGGAGATCAAGCACGCGGGGGAGAATGTGGCTGCTATGATCAATCAAGTCAGGGGGAGGTATTATCACTTGGCGACGCCGGTCAATTCTTTCAACGGAGGTGTTTCTATGGGATCCCGGTGCAATAATGATGGAGCATCGTCCAACCATTTTCCCAAATTCAGTGGTTAATGTTATCATGCAGGGTAATTATAATTTTAATCGCCTTTACTCTAATTCGTATCAACAGTTAATATGTTTTAATTTTGTACGGAGTATTTTTTGACTAACAAATGTAGTCTTATTTTATTTGCTAAATATTTCGTAACAACTTGTGTACTTTGATGAATATGAATTTGAAATGGCAGGGCTTACAAGCACTGGAGGCACAAGTCGTCCCAATTAATCAGGCTCAATGCACTAGATTACTTTTTTCAAGTTGATATTGAAGATTTGGTCAATGTTTGGACTGTATTTTGTTCTATGACAATTAGCTTTTGATGTTGATGTTAATTTGCCTTTATTGTGAACTAAAGATCATTTATGTTTCTGTGTTGACTTATGCTCTTTGTTGCATCTCATATTTTAGAAATCAAATTATTGTTTATATTCAACAATTAGAAGGAAAAAAATTATTGAATATCCGATCAAGTCGGGGTCCAATTTTGTTTCAAGTCGATGGGGGTTTTCCCATTTATTAAGAGAGTTGAGCTTACATTAAGGTCCAAAGTTTTTGATTTTTTTTACCCTTAATGACCTCATAATAAGAGAGTTGTGCATAAGGACCTAAGGTAAGCATTTCGGGAGTTATGCATACAAGATGGACCTAATCACCGTAATTGTTAACAAAATTTTGTATTAGTTTTTTCTTTATAAGTTTTTTCCAAAAAATTCTAACCCTCCTTTTGCAAAGAATCATAACATTATTAGCTAAAATTATAATCATCGGCTAAGTTGATTGAAGGAAAAATAAAGGAAGATCGATGAAATGTGAATAAGAAGTAGTTGCATGAGAAGATTAAGTTGCCTAAAATTGATCAACCAAATCAATTAATTTAAAGTTATATGTCAAAATATAATTATAAATTAAATTAAATTTTAAACTAAAAAAATTAAGCTTCTTTTTATGTACCTAACATATGTTAATTGATGATTAAGCCAATTTTGTAGTTGTTCTCAATACCAATATGATTACATTTTTTAGCTAGATATTTTGCGTCATTCTTATGATTAAATTTATTTTTCTCCAAAACTAAAAATATTAGTGAATTAAACTAGTTTGCACCGGTAAAGTATCAATAGGTCCTTAACGGTGAAAATAAAAATAACATGTCCTTAACGGTAAAGTGTCAATAGGTCCTCAACGCTGAAAAATAACATGTCCTTACCTCTTTATTAAGATATCTATAACTTACAAGTCAACTGAGTGTACTACTTCCTTTAACTGGATTGTGACAATTAGAACATTTGACATACCAACATAATTGAAGCAAAATTAAAATAAACAAAGACATAATCACCTAATAGATAAGGCTTTCTTAAATCAAAACAAGTCCAAAATATATTAACAAAATAATGGTATTTTAACTAGTGTGCATATTAGTTTTTGAATTTGTTGTAATTTGTTTTACAAAGAATAATTTCATTAGTTTTTGACTTTGTTGTAATTTGTTTTACAAAAAATAGTTCTTATAAATATCCATTTCTCATAACTCATATAGGAAACCTAATTTATACATATGTTATGTATAAATTAAATGGGGAACCAACAAATATGTAAAATAATACAACTACCCTAAGAAATTATCAGAAAGCAATATACTTCACAAACGAGATCAGAAACAAGCACAAGTATGATACACAGAATAAAGTCATTGTGTAGCACATGGTAATTTTTTAATCAAACCTAAAAAATTACCTTCAGATTCAGAGCACCTAATTAGCATACAAGTCAGACAAAATGGGGACATAACTGTTCTTCACAAACATTACCACAAGAAATTTAAACTATCCTTAAAAGAGATGTGTTGGTAATGTACTACTCAATTGAGAACTTGAAGGCGAGGGGATTCTTTCGAAGCAACTGGACAATTACCTTCTTCCCAGCCCTAATCTTTTCACCACACATCTCCTTAACCCCTTCTCTAATGTTGCACAACACAATTTTCCCATCAGAGTCTCGTTTCACAAAAAGTTTTGCTTCCCACTTTTTATTTTGTCCCAAATTTCAGCACAATTCTCGTATCCAAATAAACTGAAGTGGCACTACAAAAAATAAGGAATTTAGCTACCACAATAATTCGTTGCTAAACAACAATTATTGGTTGCTAAATAGTTAGCAACCAATTTGGCTACCAATCACATTGGTCATAAAATAGCTGGTCGCTAGCCTTAAATAGAGACTAACTATTTCATTTTTTGGTTGCTAATTTAGAGTCGGTTTTAAAATCCGTCACTATATTTTATCGACCAAAAAACTAAATTTCATTGTTAAAATAACAACCATAAAATTATATTTCGTTGCTACACAAAGAGATGATTATATAATTAATTTAGTGGTATAGTGACCAAAATTAATATTTTGTTGCTAAAATTAGCTACCAAAAATGAAATTTTGTTAACATTAGCGACCAAAATTAATTTTTTGTATCTAAAGATAGCTAGCTACCAAAAATGAAATTTTGTTGCTCCACTTAAATTAGAAATAATATTTTTAATAATACTTCAATTGGATTATGTTTTGTGTATCATTATACTCCAACCTACTAACTAATAATACAATTGTAAAAATGTACAAACATTTGCAAAATATACTTCATTATTTAACAAAATGTAGCGTTAGTGGCACATTACAATTGTAAAAACTTCATAGCAAAATAATTATATGCTCACTATAAAAAGCATACCCACAAACTTCAATTATAAAGTACCTTCCTATAATGAACATGTTCAAACTAAAGATCATGTATCATGTGCAAAAAAAAAGCCCCAACTACATCATATATGTGCATATTCAACACTGCAATTGTATGCCAAAATGACCCATTTGAAATAATGTTCTCATGATTCCACCAAAATTAGCCCTCAAGTCAAATACCAATGTTTATAGTTTAGATGGAGCAAATATGAAGGCTGACGGGGTTGTGATGAGGACGAACCAAGATCATTTAAAGTATAACGCCCACTTATAATAAGCTGGAACTGTTCCTGTAGAGTCTTTACATTCTGGTTTGTTGCATCAAGCTTCTCAGTTGTAACATCTAGCTTTTGAGTTGTTGCATCAAGCTTCTCATTAGCAGCATCGAGCTCTTTTCTTAGTTGCAAATTCTCTGAGTTTAGTTGCTCAACGTGGCTTTCCAATTGATTAACATGATCAATTCGTGCTTTCTTTGCATTGTTATCTTTTTGAGACTTATCAAAAACTGTAGTTGCTGCCGAACCAAGACCATATATCCTCCCTTGCTTCCACCCTCCTAAAGCCTCCAACAACAACTCATCTTCTGATCGTTTATCCTCACTTTCCAAGTTAGCAGCTTTTTTGTTCTCAAAATCAGCCTAATAAAACAGATAAAACATACATACATGTTTTAAAAACAAACATAATATTTACCAAGGTTGATAGGTAAGCAACACGTAGGAACAACATTAATTAAAATAAGTTTTGTAGAAAAAAATTATGTATAGACAAACCAAAATTTATACTATATATATATATATGACTAAGATCAAAACCTGATCTTCTTTTGAGCCTTATCAGATATAAATGCAAAAATATGGCAAGTACTACCAAATGTGATATTATTTTTCTTGTTTATGGGCAAGAAAGTTATATGACCACTACTAGGTGAAAAAGAAAATTTATTAGCACCTGCTCTATATATCATCATCAAATTATATAGGTGTACGTATGTAAAAAAACAAGACCAAACGGTATAACAAAGAAGCTTAATTATGAAAAAACTAACTTACTTTCATAACAAAGCATGAGATTTCAAAGCAATTATAATAATTGAATTCAGATCAATGAATAATACTTGCAGAATATTTTTTTTAAAAATGAGAATATACCCAAACAGTCTCAGAAGTCTTATCAACAAACTTTTCGTCCTTGTTCACATGAGCTTTTCGATAGACCTCGCTTGGAGTTACCTTGCGCTTTAAATCTTTCTCCTAATTTTTTAAAAAGTAAACATATAGTAAAATTACAGAGAGTTAGTAATATTAACATGTGCATGGGAAAGATAACGTTACCAGATCAATCCTTAATCTCTCCGTTGGTTTAGATCCTTGGCAGTGAGGAGGCATTTCCTTTTCAGGGTTCTTTTTGTTTAGAGAACATTGTTTCGACTTCTTCTTGAACTCTTCATCTTCTTCTCTAAGCTGCATAATTTGAGTCTTTATGCTAGGAGCGCACCATTTTGCATCATACTTTGTTGATGTGCACATTGAACTTATGATACTTGACAATCGCCTCTTACATTTCCTCTCCCATCCTTAGCCACTAAGGGATCCCAAGAAAACTTTTTCTAAAATATCACCATGGGAAAAAAAAAAACTTAGAGTACATGGAGGATAAGGAAAGAAAAGCTAGTAACGGAAAAAAAAAAAAAAAAAAAGATAGCTCACCTTGAAGGCATTCCACCATAAAACCTTAGCTTCTCGAGGTACCATTGACCAATTACACCATGGTCCAAGAAAGTACATCTTATATGATGTATTCACGACTGCATTAACAACCTCGGAATCATGAAACCTGTTTCATAAACATTAATTATTATGAAACAATTATTCAAACCCCTTCTTATCATCAGCATTGAAATAATATGTTGAGCATAATTACCACACTATTTTTTTCAAACTTAACTCTCAGTTTTGTACAATCGCAAACCACACCATACATCGTTCATTAAGCATTACTTAAACCTACCAGAAACTAGTAGGATGCAGAACTTTATCTCCCTTAGCAGAATTCCCTGTTTCATCAGATATACTATTTTCTATTTCATGATTATTTATTTCAGTCTCATGATTGTTGGCTTCCTCCTCATGATTGTTAGTTTCCATCTCATGATCAGAAAAGTGAGGTTGTTGTAAAGAAGAATGATCATGTGGCACATTCTGGTCACTCTCTTGCTCTGTTGGTGGTGGAAATTGAAAGTGGCTAACTGGCACATGAACAAGTATATGTCGAATTATTGGACCCATCCCATTATAGCCACCTCTGCGTCTACACTTGGACATATTCTGCACAAATCCAAACAAAGTGAAAATTTTAAATAGCTCTGTAAATGTAAATAAAATTAACACATATAACCTGAAACAGAAAGATATGCTATGAAAAATTAACATTATAAAAATGTAAAAGAATCAATAAAAAAAAAAATTCATCATCATCAACATAGGCCTAGCAAGCGGTCCAAAAAAGACTAACATTGATAATAAAATAATAGTTCAGATTCCCTACAAACTTATAACTTAGAGATCAAAAACTTATACAAACAGTCATAGATTATCAATTAAACAGGGTATAAAAATAGCAGCAGTCCAAAAAAGATCAACTTTCAGTCATCCACATCTAAATCCTCATCTTCTTCTTCATCCTCAACCTCATCTTCGTCTTCATCCTCATACTCATCTACTTCCTCATCGTCATCATCCTCATCCATTCCATCGTCCTCTTCTTCTTCTTCCTCGACACTGTCAGCTGCTTCTTCTCCATATATTTCTTCAAAGGTAAATTCATCTTCTTGAATGTATACATCAACATCAGAAAGTGAGGATGGATTATCAATAAAATCCTCTTGAAATTCCACCTCCACATTTGGTGCATCGATAATTCCTCTTGCCTTGATGTTAAACACAGCCCACCATTGGTTTCTTTCGTTGCTAGTATTAGGACATGGAGTAAAATACACTTGCTCAGCTTGATAAGACAATATAAATGGATCATACTTTGGATATTTTCTCATATGATTCACCTCAACTACTTTATACTTCTCATGTGTCCTTGTACCTTGTCCTGGATCAAACCAATCACATTTGAATAAGAGTGTTTTAAAACACTTTTTATCCCCAAAATACACTAATTCTATGATTTCTTGTAGAATTCCATAGTAATCATTTCCTTGAACACCTTTCACACATACACCATAATTCATGTTAGACTTATGTTTTCCATAGTCAAATGTGTGAAAATGGAACCCATTAACATGATATTGTTTGAATTTTTGAACCCTTGTTGAAGGACCAAGTGCCAAAGAATAAATTATGTCGTCGTTTGTGCCCGTTGCAAGAACCTATACCAAAGATACACTCTTAAAGCCAATTTAAAATATCCTCAAATAGAAATGTAACAAATTTATAGCCAGTATGCTACTTACATATTCCTTGAACCAACTAGGAAATTTATCTTCATACTTGGACCAAACTTCAGCCTCATTTCCGCAACTATGTTCTCTAATAATTTTCTCCTCAAAAATGCTATTAAAAGGTTGCTTTAGTATATCTTAAAAAACTAACTATTTGATGAAAGTGTATAAAAGTTGTTGGACATGTAATTACCGTTCATATTCTGAAAGTAATTCAGAGTTATTAAGGACATATCTGTGTGCAGTGTTGTAATCCCTCTCATCAAGATAACAAAATTTACCGTTGGAGGAACTATGCCCATCAATGCTTGAGAAAATCTCAGGTAGGTCTAAGTGTTCTTGAACACATGGATCAACTAATTCTTGAGTGTTAGCCTTTGTGTCAACATCTTTCTCAAAATACAGAGAGCAAAAGTTTGAAATTTCTTCGATTAGGTAGGCATTACAAATGGACCCTTCAACTCGAGATTTATTTCCTACCTTTTTCTTCAAATGATATAAAAACCTAACAAACAAAAATAATTGATTTTTTTTACTTGATTTTTTTTTGACATATATTGAAGTAGAAGGAAAATATGCCAGAATAAAAATTAAGGAAAGTAAAGATGAATGTATATTTACCTTTCAAAAGGGTACATCCATCTAAACTGTACTGGTCCTCCAACTTTTGCCTCATATGGTAAATGGACAGGAAGATGCTCCATGGAATTGAAGAAACTAGGTGGAAGTACTCTTTCTAACTTACAAAGAATCTCAGCAATATGTTCTCTAATCGTACCATCTCATAAAATTTCAAAGTGGCCGAGCATAAATCTCTAAAGAATTGACTTAATTCAGTCACAACATTCCATACACTGATAGGCAGAAGATCCTTAAAGGCAATTGGCAATAAACGTTGCATAAAGACATGACAATCATGACTTTTCAATCCTGATAACTTGCATTCCTTAGTATCAACACATCTACTTAAATTAGATGCATAACCATCAGGAAACTTCAACTTCTTCACCCATTCACATACAAGTTTTCTCTTCTCCTTAGGCAAGACATATGAAGCATTTGGCATCACTTGCTTCTTTGACTTTCCATCACGAGAAATCACATCTTGAACTTCTAACTTCCGCCGCTTACAAAACTTTTTTAGATCTTTTCTTGATTCCATGTTATCTTTACTCTCCCTTTAACATCCATGATAGTGTGGAACAAGTTATCAAAAACATTCTTTTCAATATGCATGACATCAATATTGTGACGTATCAAGAGCTTGCTCCAATATGGGAGCTTCCAAAAAATACTTTCCTTATCCAATGATGCTCTTTGCCATATCTTTGCAAAACTTCTTCTTGGGTCTCTTTCATCAAGCTCACTCCATTTGCTTGAATCTTAACATTTCCACATGAACAACCTTCAACTTTTGGCAAAGATGACAATCTCTCCTTAATTTGCTCTCCACTCAATCTTGGTGGAGGGGAAGAACACTCAATTCTATTTTTGTAGAACCCACTTTTATTTTTTCTGAAAACGTGGTCATGGGTTAAGAATTGTCAATGACAATCAAACCATGTTTGCTTATTTCCATGAGTAAGAGTGAATGTTTTTGTCTTCTCCATGCAATATGGGCATGCTAGTCGACCGGCCGTACTCCATCCGGACAACATACCATAAGCGGGGAAATCGCTAATTGTCCAAAGCAATGCAACTTTCATTTGAAAATTCTGTTTTTTAGAGATGTCATAAGTTGGCACCCCTACATTCCAGAGCATCTTTAGCTCATCAATCAGAGGTTGCAAGAAGACATCGAGATTTCCCTTAGGGCTTTTTGGGCCAGGAATGAGCAAACTTAAAAACATGAAAGGCTTTTTCAAGCACAACCATGGTGGCAAATTATAAGGAGTTACAATCACAGACCAACAAGAATATTGAATCCCTGACTTACCAAAAGGTGAAAACCCATCAGTACAAAGGCCAAGTCGAACATTTCTTGATTCTTTTGCAAAATCTTGAAATGTTTTGTCAAAATCAATCCATGCCTCTCCATCACACGGATGAGCCATTACACCTTCTAGTCGCTTAAACTCTGCATGCCACCTCATTTGCTTTGCCGTAGATTTGGTAGCGTACAACCTTTGCAATCTTGGAGCAATTGGTAAATAATGAAGCATACTTTTAGGACTTTTCTTACCATTTGCCCTTGAAGGCTTGAAACGACCTTCGTTGCAAACAACACATTCTACAAGATCTTTGTGTTCCTTCCAAAATAACATACATCCATTGGGACATACATCTATCTTGTGATGCGGTAGTTTTAGTCCATCAAGTAGTCTCCGAGTCTTATAAAAATTATCAGTCATCTTGTTCTCCTCTGGACACATATCTTTCATTAAAGATGTAACACTATCAACAACTCTATGAGGGATGTTATATTCACATTTGATATTTGTGATTCTTGCTGCAACAGAAAGCCAAGACATGTTAGATCCATTGTATAGAGGTTTCTCTGCAGCTGCCAACATGTCAAAGAACTTTTTTTGCTCTAGAGGTGGGTCCTCATCTACAACATCTTCTACAACATATTCATGTCCAAATGCATCCATTACCATGTCCTTGTAGGGGTTAGACTCTTCTGGTGTAGTGGTGAAACAACTACTTAAAGTTATATTTTGAAAGTAGTCTTCCCCATGACATGTCCAACGATAGTAATCAGGTTGAAAGCCATTCTTGTAAAGATGTAACTTGATGGTGTCTACACTTTGATATGGGATATTTTCACATTTTGAACAAGGGCATTTCATTAAGCCATCTATCAATACATTTTCTTGGACACTAGCAAAATCAATGAATTCATCAACTTTGTTAACAAAAATTGAACTAAGAAATTTTCCATCATCAAGTCTCTTATACATCCATCCTCGATCTGAACTCATACTGCTGCAAATTAATTTTTGTTAGTTTGTTCTTTTTTTTTAAGTGTTATAATTGTTTACTCATGTTTATTAAAGTAAACTAGAAACTAAAACTATACTTCTACTAACAAAGTAGCTAGTTACTTTGATAAGCTGCCATAAGGTGTGGTTAGATATATAATAGTTGGTTCATAGTATATCATTGACTTATATAATAGGTACTTTAGTATATAAAACTATAAATGTTTACTCGTTATCCAACATAAAGTGGTGGAAAGATTAAACTTGTTGCAAAGTTATGATTTGTATATTGAAATAATAGGATTATTATAATGAACTTGCAAATTAGTACCTTGTGAGTTGTGTAGTAGTCTTACGCATTATGTCAATGATTGGATTATTCTAATGATGTATAATAAAGTAAGCTCACTAAACACATCTAGAATCATGTGGAAACCACCTCATTATAGAAATCAAACTTTGACTTGCTATATTCCAATTATATATTAAGAAATAAACAACATTTTGACTTCTGGTGTAAAAATAGCAAGCTAAATATCTACTCAATAAATGAAACTCCCAAATGAAAAGTAAGATATTTTCTTATAACTAAGCAGGTTCATGTGTGATCAGAACAAAGCATAGACTATCTATAAGCCATTTATCTTTGTAATTTAACAAAATACAATCGCATAAAATCTGTAGCAATTAAATTAATAACAACACTTGAATAGCAAATTTATAGATAGATTGTGACCAATAATACTTCACTCAGTATTGTAAATTAACAAGCAAAACTACTTTCATATGATATATCACAACAAGAACTACACACAATTAACCAATAAAGCACAATTATTGTGTATAACTAAATAAGATTAGCCCAGAAAAATTAAGATACTATATCACAAACAATTGCTAAATTGTTTAATTTTATCAAAATTCAAATAAATTGAGAGGCTTGAATACCTGAAATTGCTAACTAATGGACGGTGAAATTAAGTCGACGACGTTAACCCTTATTCTCCATCTTAAGCATAAATCCTTTCGTCAAAGCAACCGTAATGCTCATCAAATTGTAAGTCTTTTGCTGAATTGAGATGGTCTGACCACGAATTTTGCAAAAAAATAAAAATTAGGGAGAAATTGACATAGAAAGAGGTAGCAACTAGCAACTATGCACAGTAAAATGTAAAGGGTTTGTAATGTTGGAGAGAGAAGCTACTCAGTACTCATAAAATGCTTTTGGTCCTTTTGTTATTTCAAAAAGTAAAATTTTCATTCTAAAAATTTTAGGCTCCGCCAAAATTTTTATTTTTGCGCCATAATAAAAATTTAGTGACCAATTTTTAAAAAAATTTCTCTTTTTTCTTTTTCTTTTTAACAATGTGTTCAATGAATAGATTTTAGTTGTCTAGATTTAGCAACCAATATGATAAATTTTTGTCTCTATATATTTTAGCAACCAAAATTTGAATGGACAAGTTGGGATTTGTAGAATAGCAACCAATGTATTATAGTTGTAGCTATTTTAGCTACCAATTATATAAACATAGCTATTTTTGGTAGCTAAATATCCCTATTTTTGTAATGTGGAGCCTTGCAAATTTAAGAGGCACATTTTGCAAAATTAGCACACAAACATAAGCTTATTTATATTGTTAAACAAACAATGTATTATGATTGTCATTATATACTCAATTCAACCACAACATACCATCCTACCAACTGCTCTGTATGGATTTGTGTATATGACTTCAAAATTCGCTATCTAGCTACACCTGTTATCTGGAATGACGAGTGTAGTTGAGTTCTGCCTTCTCCCTTTCAGCATCATTGTCCTTTGGCTCAATCTCTTCCGAAGAATCAGAAGATATCTCAATAAATTCACTAGTGATATCTTTTCTATCACGCCAAATAAGTACCTTGAATGCCCCATCACCCATATACAATAAGTCCAGTATATCACTAGCCTCTATACTGTTGTCCTTCACGAAATCATACCATCCCTCCTTAAAATATATCTCTATGCCAAATTTATCTCTAATCTTGTTCCACTTAAACTGGTAAATCTGTGTGCTATCTCCTCTATATACTCCAACATCTTCTTTACTCCTTCGAAAGAGTTTACTAATTCGTTCTGGAACAAACTGGTATAAGATTTTAAAGTACATGTTAAAATTTAAGCTTTACAACAAGACTTGTTATGATTATACTTAAGTTGTGTTAATTTAATGACATTGCTTACCAATTCACACTGCTTCTCATAGTTATTCATGACGGTGAACCATGTTTAACCTTCCTCCGGCATTATCTATAAATTTAATTAAAGATTGTATTATGTAAAATAGTTAATTAGTCATCCGTCATTCTAACACGTGCAAGATTCTATAAATTCTAGATAAAAATGAAAGGGACTCAACATTTACATCATACACAACAATGTATACAAATTATATCCCATTTATAGTAACCAGGACTCGATTTTTGTAAATATTTGTATATAAAATTATATAAGCGGCTAAAATTTAGAGGGTTACTTATTTAATAAAAACAAATGTATTTAGAACATGAGCAAATTTAATGATTAAAAAACAATAATTTGGAAACATTGGGCAGATCTAAAGATATAAGACAATAATACGGAGTTTCAAAAAAACAACACAATAATTTATTTTTTCAAAAATCACCGATTCACAACAACGATTGTTTAATCAAGCAGATCTAAATACATAACATAAGTAGTTGGAATCTTGAGTACACGCAACACCACATCTGAATGTTTTTTCAAACAAAGAACACTCTAAATATTCAAAAAACACTCAAGTTCTATAATTAAAAACATCATTACATGTAGATATATCTACTTAAAAGGCATATAAGGAAATTACGTTGTGGGTGAGAGTTATCGTATTCCGATAGTAATCAGCGCAACCAAATTCTTCTACAGTGGAAATGGAAAGAATCAATTTTTTTGATTGATTTACCCTTTGGTGGTGATGTTGCCGGAGTTGAGAAATGGATTTTAGATGAATGTTAGGGTTTGATCTTTATCACCGGAGTACTTTAAACAAAAGGATAGTTACTCTTTTTAATGTTTCCTCTTAAAAAATATAATATGGGTGGGGTTGAGAAGTCAGAGGGACAAAGAATTAGCAAGCGAAAAACACAATTTTTAAATTTTAAAAAAGATTTTCTTGATCGTTTGCTTTTAAACAAATTATGGATAATTAATGTTTCCCTCTTAATTTAATTCAATTTTTATTATTTAAAATATATTTGTAACATTAATTTACTAATATAATCTAGACCCAAAAATTTCAGTTAATTAAACGTCTTATAAATATTTAAAAAAACTAAGAGAGTGAGGGATAGCTTTAGTGGTTAGATCTCCCCTCCCGGTTGCAAGAGATCTTGGAATCGATTCTCATCACCAGCCCTTGTGGATCTTTAAAAAAAAATTATTAAAAAAATTAAAATGCATTACAAAGTTACGAATAAAAGATTTCATTACTACTATTATTGAAACACCAAATGTAATAGTCTATGGGCTATCTGCAGGATGATTTACAAAAATATAGCTTTTAAGAAATTTATGAATCATTGGTTTACCGCGCATCACTTTCACGGTCTCTGCTCGTTGATTCAGTAATGGACTCCACTCTACTAAATTCAAGGAAACAATCCCAACCACTAAAGGCATTGTTGTCCCATAATTAAAGGCAATTAACACACCATGGTGCGGTTTAAAAGGGGGTTAAATTAGATAATGTAAAGGAATATTATATGAACAAGATAAGAAGAGAATTTTGTAAGGAAAATTTATAAAGTAAGTAATAATTATAAGAGTTAAGCCAATCAAATGGACCTTAACTTTGACATTTTTCACCTTTAAGGACCTTATGTCTATTTTCCCACCTTTAAGGACCCGACCTAAGTTTTTTGGTCACTTAACTCACCTATAACCATGAGTTTACTTTTCAAATGTTAATGTATAGTAATATTTTTTATATTTTTTTTAGGGAAAAAAAATAAACTCATGGTCACTTAACTCACCTCATGGCATACACCAACCTCATGTATTTACAAGGGTTAGATGATGCTACATGGTGCCGCTGCTTTCCAGCCACAATGAATGGCATAGCCCAACAATGGTTTGGCAACTTGCCAGCCGGATGCATAGACAGCTCCAAGAAGCTTGACTACCTGCTTGCGTCCAACTTCTCCATGAACATCCCTACAAAGAAAACAAGTTTGAACTTGAGCACTATTAAGCAAGGGGAGAAGGAAGGGCTCCGTTCTTACGTCAGAAGAATCAACCTGACTAGAATCCAAATTCAGGGGCTGTCTGACGAAGTAGCCTTTATAGACTTCTTTAAGTGTCTAAAGGACGAGTCAACTTTCAAGTTCGACTTCGTCAGAAAGAGGGTCTTCACCCTTCAGCAGGTGTTGATAGAGGCGGAAAGCTTTATACCAGCAACCGACCTCTGATCGCCTAGCAACCTATCGGAATCCAAGAAGTCTGACAATAAAAAAGATAGTCAAACTGCTCAACCGGCTAAGAAATAAGAAGAGACCAAAAAGAGAAAAGATGTTTGGGCGGTTAATGAATCTGACTAGTTGTCCTAGGAGAAAAAGAAGGAACTCAAACCGTACTCCCTATGGTACGAGTTTAATAAGGACTGCAACTTCATCCTCATAGAGATTAAGGACCGGCTGACTCTTGAGAAGTCGAATCCTATGAAAAGTTCCATTCAGTCACGGAATAAAAATAAATTTTTTCAATACCATGAGGAGATTAGCCATGACACCAACGATTGCTTCAGCCTCAGCGGGCGTTAGATGGTCAGGCTGACAAAGAGATGTTGAAGTCCTATATCTCTACGTCCAAAGGGACTAATAAGAAGAACTCGGGATAGTCGTCCAAGACTATCCAACCTACTAATAGCTCGGACACTGACAAAGAGCCGGTCTACACCACATCAAGAGGATTTAGGTGGTGGCCCAACTATTCGGGGCACCAAGGACCATCTGAAGAAGATGGCCAAAGCTTCTAGTAAAGAGCAGGCGTCTGCCAGCAAAACCTTCCCACACGTCCTTAATATTAAGAAGGACCGGGGTAGCGTTTGCCGTCCGCATGACGATCCGATTGTCATTGAATATAAGGTCGCCAACCAACTGGTTGGATGGATACTTATAGACACTAGTAGCTCCTCGGACATCATCAGCTATAAGTGCCTGCAAAAGCTGAAGTACAAGCCCAGCAGCATGCATGCGCTTTCCCATCCCTTGGTTGGTTTTGGGGGTGGAATGGTGTACCTAGTCGACATGATTGATTTACCTATCTGACTGGGAGAAAAAGGAGAAAGGCGGCACCTAGTCGTCAAGTTCTTGGTAGTACAGGAGTTAACTTCATATAACATCATTATAGGCCGTCTAACTCTGAACGAGTCCAAGGCCGTCATTATCCCTTCCCTCATGCTGCTGAAGTATGAAAGGGATGATGGTTCTATTGTCTCCCTGATGGGGACTAAAAGACGACTCAAGAATGTTTTCTCTCATCCGTCAAGCCCATCGTGGCCTCATCCGGCCAAGGACAAGAGCCAGTAAACCTTGAAGACGTCAAGGATCCCGACCTAGCCCCACCAGCAACCGGAAAAAAGTGGATGTCTAATTAGCTGGTGGAGGTGAATAAAGAAAAGAAATAGCAATCACTGACCGGAGAGTGGTTAGAGGAGCTCCGTCCCCGGCTGGTGAGCACATGGACCTCGCTTTGGATGAATGCCGTCCATAGCGTATTGTTAAGGTGGGGACGGCTGCCTTTGCTAAGCTGGGTGCAGATTTGCATCGTCTACTAAGAGAATTTAAAGACATTTTTTCCTTTTAAGTGGAAGAGAAGCCCGACATTAGCCCGGATCTTGATGTCCACAAATTCGTCGTGAGTCCAAAAAAGAAGCCTA